AGGCGGAGGCGGAGGCGGAGGCGGAGGCGGAGGCGGAGGCGGAGGCGGAGGCGGAGGCGGAGGCGGAGGCGGAGGCGGAGGCGGAGGCGGAGGCGGAGGCGGAGGCGGAGGCGGAGGCGGAGGCGGAGGCGGAGGCGGAGGCGGAGGCGGAGGCGGAGGCGGAGGCGGAGGCGGAGGCGGAGGCGGAGGCGGAGGCGGAGGCGGAGGCGGAGGAGGAGGAAGAAGAGGAAGACGAGGAAGAAGAGGAAGAAGAGCAAAAAACATAAGAAGACGAATAAGAACAATAATAACAATAATGATAACATTAATAATACTAATAATATTAATAATAATACTAATAATAATAATAATAAGAATAATAACAATACTAATAAGAATAATAACAATAATAATAATACTAATAATAATAATAATAACAATAATAATACTAATCATAATAATAACAATAACAATAAGAAACATAAGCATAATAATAGTAATAATTAGAAGAATCATACGAATATTCATAATAAGAAGAATACCAAGACGAATATTCATACTACGAATAAGAATAAGAATAATACTAAGAATAATAAGGGGAGTAGGAGGAGCAGGAAGAGGAGGAGGAGGAGAGCAGGAGGAGGAGGGGATACTTCAGAAGGTTATCGCGAATGATAAATCACTTGATTCAGCAAACGCTTGCACAATAAAACACTAATGATTCTGAGCTCCGTGCGGAGTTCTCGGATCCGTGACCCCCCCCCCTGGCCGGGCCTCTGGCACTGCCCCTGGCGCGCTCCGCGCGCCAGGGAGGGCTGTCGAGGACTCCGCAGGGGCCTCCGAACGTCTACGTTTCGGCCACGCGCAGGGGGGGGAGGGCTTTCTCAGAAGCGCCACCCCTGCTTCTCAGCAGGCGCGGGTCGTGTCTAAAGATGCAATGCCGGCGCTCTCGAAGAAGCCGCCTCCCGAGAAGCATCCCTCCCCCCTGCCCCATACTCACTCGTGCGCGCCGCCACGTGCTGCGGTAGGCTTCTTTTTCCAGGGAGGAAACACCACCTGGACCGGACAATGACTGGCCTTGGGCATTTATTGAACAGCCCTGCCCTGTTCGATTCCTTCAGTGGAGGCTCGCTCCCTCCGGGGGCGGGGAGCCGCGGCCCGGCTCTGCGAGATCGGTGCCTCCCCAGCTTGCTCGAGGATCGGAGGTTGATAGACCTCCTGCCCTGACACGTCGATTAGCGAGTTGGCCGTCTTCGGTTCGCGAGGGGGCGCCGCGGCCGTCCCTTCTTGCGGGTCTACAGGTCCGTCGGTTTCGGTCCTCTGGGCCGTTTGCGCTAAGAAGGGTGGTCTGCTAAAGGTAGGTTTGCCCACCGCCGAGAGGACGTGCTGGCCGCACCCGGTCCGGCTCTACGAGGAGCTGGCGACGAAGCGCTGGGCGGCGGCCCTGGGGCCGCGCGCGGCGGCGCTGCGGGTGCCGCCCACGGTGGTCGTCTCCAAGGCCGACGTGGACGGCGGCGCGCCGCAGGCGGCCGAGGCCGCGCTGCACAGGCTGCGGCGCCTCCGCAGCGACGTCCACGGCGGGGGGCCGCAGCGGCTCGAGGCGTACCGCGGGGTGGCGAAGCTCGGCTTCAGCTGGCAGGAGAGGGGAGGAAAAGACACCCAGAAGCACCGCTATACCCTCGCTTTTCGTCTTCGCTCCGTTCGCCATGTCTGGGCCTCCACATGGGGGGCCCTCGTCGCCGCCGCTGGCTTCGCTCCGAGGTCCTGGCCAGAACGCGCACCGGGAGGAGCCCTGGGAGTGGCGGGTGCCAAGGCACCTCTTGGTCTCCTCCGCAGGGGGAGGGCGTGCTCCCCTTCGTGGGGCCGGCCGGCCTGGAGCGCGCGCTGAGGATCGGAGGGGGGGAGAGACGGCATGCACCTGAGCTTTCGGGGCCTCGCGCGGCGTTCTTGGATCTGCGCTGGGCCCCTGGCGGCGCCTCAAGCGCCGCCCCAAGAAGTCCGCGCGGAGGCCCGAAAGGCTAGGTCTATGCAGCTTGTACGTGTTCCTCCCGAGGAAGCTCCTCGAGGGCGCGGACCCGGGGGCGACGTGCCTCGTGCAGGAGCGCGTGCAGCACGTCCGGTGCGAGCTGCGCGTCTTCTGCTGCAGGGACCACGCGGCCGGGCCGGGGGCCATGCGCGCCGAGCTGGTGCGCATGCGGCTCAAGGATCGGTACGATCGAAATGGCTACTCTGGATCGCTTGATACTCGCCCCCCCCCCCCCCTTGGAGTGCCCGGGGGAACCGGCCGCGGCTCGTCCGCGGGGTGCCACGGGGGGTCCTGGGTTCGTTCCCTTCCCCGCTGGGGCGCGGGGGTGGTGCCGGGGGGGGGTTGGCCGCGCCGCGTTTTCACGTTTGTCACCCCCCGGTTGATTAATAAGAAGTTCGGAGTACGGAAGGAGTGGGTACGACGCCCAACAGCAGTTCTTGCCCACGTTGGACAGGACTTGCTGCTGGTGTCGCGCGGGCGTTGTGTGCATTTGAACCAGACCTGGCCGCCTGGCCAACAGCGCGGCCGCTGTCGGTTTGGGACAACGTTAGTTGTGGGGCATCGTATCCCGTACATGCTCTGGGGGTCCAGAACAAGGAGCCGCGCCACCGCGAGATCGACGGGAGCTTCGCCATGGCAGGCGCCACGACCATGACGGCGGCGGAGGCGGCCGAGGCGGCCTTCGGCGGCAGCATGGCGGCGCTGGGCGCCGCGGAGGCGGAGGCGCGCCGCCTCGCGGGGCTCTGGCTGGAGTGGCTGCAGGGCGCGGACGGGCCGGGGCTCCCCCATGTCTGCCGCCTGGACTTCATGGTCTCCGTGCCACCCGCCCCGCCCCCCGCGCAGCCCTCGCGGGGCCCGGGCGGCCGCGGCGGCGCCCGCCGCGCCGCCACGCCGGCGCCGGCGCGCGCCGCCCCCGAGGTGCACACGGTGGAGATCACCGAGCTGGGCGGCGCGACGTGCGGCCTGTCGGTGCACGCGCGGACGGTGGCCGTGCTGAACGAGTGCGTGCTGGGCGGCGGCGGCGCGGAGGGCGAGGGCTCGCTGCCTCCCCCCGCCGGCTTCCCGTGGCCGCTGCCGCCCCTGCAGGTCGGGGGCGCGGAGGGCTCGGTGGCCGCCAGGGGCGCCAGGCCGGCCGGCGCCGCGGTGGGGGCCTGGCTGCTGGGCGCGGCTCGGCGGTGCGCGCTCGGAGCCTGCGTGGAGCTGCTGCGGCCGCCGCTGGCGCGGGAGGCGCTGCTCTGGGCCACGCTGCTGCTGCTTCGGCTGCGGGCCGTCGCTTCCAGGCGGGTTGCGCGGGTTCGGGTGCGTGTCTGACAAGTTAGAAGCACGCCTGCTGGCAGTGGTAGCCTCTTTGTTGGACAGTCATGAGCAATTGCTGGATCCACTCCCGCTCTGCGGTGACTCTTTCACTAGCCAACCTCCACTCAGATTCCTCCGCTCCACTCTCCTACCCAGCCCACTTGCCGCAGCTCCTCCGAGACCGCTCCAGCTACGGCTGCGGAAAGGGGGGTCTCCTCAGCGATGGACACGTCTACACCTTCGAAAAGGCGAATGTCCACGCCTGGGGCCCGGGCCTCCAGCGTAGAATTCAAGCAGTGGCGAAGCGTCCTGGCTTGCCTATGGGCCCACCAAAGAATGTTCTAGAATCTGGTGTGGTTTGCGGGAAATGTTCTGAGAGCATTTCTGGCTGGGACCGCCTTATTTCAGCACGTCGGCTTTCTGTTCTTAGGTCCTTGTAGTTGTTGTTATCAGAACTCACCATTCTTTTTGTTCTAAGAACATGTGGTGGTAGGTTCTGTGGGAATGCTAGGACGGTCGGTCCCTGCTCACATAATCGAGGAGACTCTGCACGGAGGGACTGGGTACTGGTAAGTTTCGGTCTGCTCTTGGAGGTGTTCTCGCCTCGGGATGCTTGTCAGCAGCCGCGCCTCGCCGAGAGCGTTCCGGGGGTGCCGAGATCGTACCGCCAGGTGCTGAGTGATCAGGCTCTGCGCGCGTGCCGCATGGAGATTCCGATGCCCCTCAGCTTGGAGTTTTCAAGGCTTCAGTGGAGGATGTGACTTCAGCGAAGCGTGGCTGGACTCGGGCTCCATGGGCACACGCAGTTAGCCCTCAACTTCGCCAGGGACCTTCAGTCACTTGTGACCGGCGTCTTCAAATTTGCCGACGGCTCGTACTGGGGCGACGCCCCTCAGAAGTCCGCGTGGGCTTGTACAGTGGTGGTCTCTGACGGCGCAGGCTTTAAGTTCGCTGGGTTTTTCAATGCCCTAGTCTTGGACAGCATCAACAGTGAGCTTTCCGACAACGACATTAACGGCGTCGCTGCTGAGACTGCAGGGCTCCTCTGGGCACTACTATACGCCATGCAGCTCGACGCTCACCTCCAGGTTGAGGTCATCTGAGACTGCGAACCTGCATTGGCGAGGACTTCGTCGGGGACACAGCGGCGAGAAGCTTTCGCTAAGCTTGCAGCTCATGCCCACGACGCCCATCGTCTGACCCACGACGTGGCTCCCTCTCGCACGTTTGGACATGGAGGGCACCCGTGGAACGAGATGTCGGGCGCGATTGCTAAGCAAGCTCGGGATCACCGGCCTGCTCAGCTTCCAGATTGCATTGTGCCTCTCTTGCGCCCTGGCTCAGCCTGGGGATGGGCGCCCCTGCTGGGCGACAGGCATCAGGGCCGCGCTGCGTATCCCCTGATGACGGAGCGCGGCTTTGAGTGCCGCCCTGTGCGGCAGCAGGTCATCGCCAACACAGACAGTACTATACAAACCCAGTTGTATACGCCATCTCGATGGCAGCGGTGACCTGCAATGCACAGCGAGTTTATTTAGGCGAAGCCGACCCTCACCACGGACGGCCTCTCCGAGGTCAACTTCTACGGCTGCAGCTGCAGGAGGCCAACGTCATTCTAGCAGGGCCCCAAGAAGCCCCGGCACCTTCGGGGCCAGCAGTGCGCGATGGCCACCTTGTCAGAAGTTCAGGCGATTCGGAGGTGTCAGGCTACATTCCCCTGATGAACGTGGACAAGCCATGCGGCAAAGGGCCCAGAGGTGACGAGACTTTCCAGCGATCCGACGCCGGGATTGCGCATTCAGACCCGAGAGTTTGGGCGGCGTGGCTTCGCACTTGCGGAGTAGATGAGTGCGCCCGCGTGATTCAAACACCTCATGCAAGACATCATTTGTTACAATCGGAAGATTGGCGGCTGGGGCTGCAGAATCTTTTGGCGAAGTGGAGCCCAAGTCTCAAAGATAGGCCGCGCTCAGGTTGATGGAGGGATTCACAGCGCACGGGCAGGGGGGCACCACCTTCCCTATTGCGCGCCAGATGTTGACGATGGCCCAGGGGCAGTTCTCCGCAGGATACTTGACGAACACGACCTTTATTCGACCTCCTCTGTCTTTGAACGCGAGGGAGGGCACGCGCATGTCTCCATTGCCAAGTCTAAGTCCAGGATTGATCACATCATCACCAATGGCATGCTACACGGAGCCACCGCGCGATGCTGGGTGGATTATTCGTTTGACTCGCTTTGTGATGGCGAATAACACTTCCCAGTGCATGCGCAGATGCAGTATTTCCAGCTCGAAGGCACCGCCGAGATTACGAAGGAATCCATTTTAGATGTTATGAAGTTGCGGGGCCAGTCATGTTGTGAAAAGTTCCAGGCCACACTGAACAACGCCAGCCTGCCCGAATGGCTGATGGATGTGAACGACCACCTCGACGTGGTCAACACTACAATCACTACTGCGTCGCAGTCATGCTTCGGCACAGACCGCTTGACCTCTGTCAAGGGCTGTGTGGGACAACAGACGATGTGCTTGGCTAGACTACGCAGATGCGTGGCTCGAGCACGGCGCTGGCTACCGCACCATGCGACAAAGGAGCCCCCATGGACAGATGTACTAGCACATGCTGATGACCATCTCTTCCACCCAGCATCGTCAGCTGGCTGGGCCCCAGTGGCAAGAACCCTGAGGTTGGCGTGCGTAGCAGAGCGGGGCGACGCCGGCTCAACGGGCCAGGCTTTCCAGATATGCCTCGGCAGTTGCCTGGGAGCCACCTCGAAGATGGTGAGGGGCGCGGTCGATTTGGACAGAACCTCTCTCGCTTGGAGTCGCTGGCGAGACACGTGGACACATGCGCGGCTTCAGGCGACAGTCACAATGGGCGGCGCATGATGAACATGCGTCGACGCAGCGGAGGCAGGGCGGGGCGAGCTGGACGGTGCCCGGTGCTGGAGGAAGACGGCATCGCGGCAAGCTCCAGTGCAGAGGCCGAGGATATGTTTCTCAAACATTCCGCGGACGTCGAGGATGCGCAGGTTTAGGATGCTATGGGGCTAGGGCGCCTTTCCAATCGGCGACTTCATCATGATCGCGAGACAGCGGATATCGGCCCGCGTTCATTACCTGCACCGTCGGTCGCGAGCGGCATGTCCATGGAATTAAAGAGGCGCAAAACACCGAGGCAGGGCGGCATCAGCGGCGATATGCTGCGATGCGTTCCACAGGGGCTAGCTCGACATGTTCATCCAGTCTTTCTCAAGACCAGTCTACATCAGCAGGGGCAGTATGGGTGGACACATGGCACTGTGTACTTTCGGTTTCAAGGCACTGGCCGCTAGTCGTCACTGGAATTCTACCGATCCATATTCCTGAACAGTACAGTGGCCAAGGGCTGGCCCAGTTTTCTACGTGATCAGGTCAGCGAATATCTAGATGTCTGGCTGCGTGCGACGCACCGTGGAGGCAGTCCCCGTAAAGGTCCATCGGTTCTGGCGCAGATTGCGACTGCGTTTCTCAAAGCAGCGGTGCGCCAACGTCAGGGAGCCGTTCTGTACTTCGTCGACCTGGTCTCTGCATTCTACTCGGTAGTCCGCAGTTCGGTCCTACCTGCCATAGCCGACGTGGGCGGGTGCATTGCATATGCCGAGGACAATCGCGAGCTGCCGCTTAGTATGCTTCCACTTGTCTTTTCTATTACGAGTCAGCCGTCGGCGCTGGCGGACCTAGGGGAATCCCCGCACTTGCTTGCGCTTCCCACCGAGAGCCATCGCGACGCGCACTTCGGCACGGGCAACTTGCCGCAGGTGGCTCGATCAAGGAGAGGCTCGAGACCAGGCGGCTCACTGGCGGACGCTATATTCAATGCAGCTTTCTTCAAACCACTTCGCGCAGTCGACGAGGCCGTTCGTGCTCTAGGGTGCTGCCTACCGTTTCGCCCAGAAGTGCTGCTTCAGACGTTCCCCCAGGGTGCGCAGGAGGACCCCTTGGTCGACGCGTCCTTCGTAGACGATGTGTTGTTTCTGTAGGCCCCGCCGGCCGCGACCGAGCCGGCTGGGTTTTCTGGGAAATTGATCGGCTCAATCCTCAAGTGCATGCTGGCGCATGGGTTTACACCCAACTACAAGCGTGCCAAATCCAGCGTATGCATCGCCCCTGGACCTCAAGACCCCCTTGGATTGCGACAAAAACGAGAGGCCAGCCATGTTCAGGTGATTCCGTCGGAAGTATGGGGGTGTCAAAGTCCATGTCGTTTGTGAGTGCAAGTACTTAGGCACCATGTTGGACATGTTTGGCACGCTTGGCTGTCGGGATGCGCGAGCGATACAGAAGCATTTGGTTTCCTTGGCCGCAGTCAGAAGGATGCGCAAGCGTTTCGAAGGAATGACACCACCTGTTCGAACCAATCTGGTTGACACGATGGCCAACTTGAACATGCTCTACCTGGCTGAAGTCTGGGAGGCCACACCCCAGACACTCTTGCGTAAGTTCGAAGCAGCGAGGGTTCAGGCCTACAGAGTCGTTAATGGTCGTCAACATCATCGTGATACGGAGGTCTCCCATACAGACTTGGACACCCTGTGTTCAGCCAAGCGAGTTCCACTTGAATTTCTTTTTCGCAAGCGTCGGCTTCTGCATTTCAGTTCGCTTTTCGTGGGGGCACCCGCCGCCGTGCACTTCTTGGTATACCAGGCAGCGCCGATACCAGGCTCGTGGACGACTCTGCTTGCGTTAGACTTCGTTATGGGTGACTACGCACGACGCGGATGACACCCGAGAGCTGCGGGCATTGCGGCAGTGGTTCCTTTATTTGTAAAAGGAAAAAAAAACTACCCCAAGGGCCTCAGGAATGCAATCAAGAGAGCTTGAGGCCTCGTGGTTTCAGCTACCCTTGAGTCCATGCAGGCCGAGCATTGGCAGAGGCAGCTTCTCAGTATGCGAGTGGGGCGACCATCGCCAGCAACCAGTGATCGCGAAGCTGATCTGCTCCACCTGCGGATGGGCGACTATGCCAGTGCCTGCGCGGAGGGAACATCAGCTCGATCACCGGCCAATCGATGACGCGCAGATGGAAACTGGAGGCACGCAGTGCGGCGCGTGCGGCGCGCGAATTTCCGGCCGATCGAACCTCCTCCGTCATCTCCGCAGGCCTGGCAACACATTCTTGGATTACTTGATTGGGCAGGGGGGCATGTTGGATATGGAATCACTTCGGCAGGGGACTTCTTGGAGATGGAGAGTGGGCAGGGAAGAGGCTGAACCACTTCGGCAGGAGGACCTCGCTCGCGAGCGGCAGATGATGCAGATGTGCTACAACTATCGTCGAGTCTTTCAGCACGCGTAGCGAACAATGCACTGGGGCGGGCGTGGCGTAGCACGCATTCCGCCAGCGCCGCCAGCAGTGCAGTTCCCTGTCCATTGAGAACCACAGCTACAGAGGCTACGTGGGACACCAGGGCGGCAACAACTCTACCATGTATCTCCTGGGGATTGCATGGCTTTAGATGCTTGAGAATGGGCCAACCGCATCAAGAGTCAGCATTTCGAACCTATTCGTGTTCCGATCCGTGGCGCCGAAAGAATTTTGACGATTATGGGTGGCAGTCAAATGAGAGAGATGATGAACGATATGCCTACAGGGGAAGTTGCTGGACTCATCCTCTCACCGTCTACAGTAACCTGGAAGAGTTTCGATGGTGGCAATGGGCAGAGCAAGCCTTTGAGGGCCGATCTGCACCCGCGGGGCAGACCTACACTTGGTGAACACTCTCGGCGACGACATCTTGCAGGAAACAGTCAGTTCAGAGCGTCGTGGTCATTGCTGGAGGCAGCACGCATCGCTGGAGTGGCAGCCTGCTTGGTTCTGTCATATGACGAATTCACGAAGATCTGCGAGGTTGTGCCCGACATTGACAGTATGATTTGTAGTACTGCCAAGGTTGTGCGGCTGGGCTTCTGCATGCTGGGGGCAGACAGCGTGCCCCCCACGGCTCTGGTTCACACGCGCATGGCATTCAATCTGGAGGCAGAGATATGCCACTGCGAACATCGTGCACACGTGGCAGCTGGTCATCTGAAGGCTTGGCCGCGTGGCCTCTCCCGCGTGCTCGTGCAGGCCTTAGCTGAGGCCAGCATCCCTGCGCAGGCTCTATCTGCTCGCAGGAGGCGCGCGCCCCCTGCTCTGCAGCCTTAAGGATGACTTTAGTGGATAGGGGGCTCGGATATCATGATGTTATGTGATGATGATGTTTGCTTGCTTGCGTGCTGTGACTACTGCCAATCTCGCGTGGCTTGCTAGACGCGCGAGGCGAGCTGGAGGGGGCGGTGCGGAGGCGGAGCGAATGGGCCCGGCGCAATGGCTCCCCCTCGCGCCCGCCCCCATGCTTCCGTCCAGCCCACCCCTTCGTCTCCACCATCATCGTTGCTGCTCCTTGCTCCACCTTGCCTGGTGTCGGCCTGCCGGCCGCCTGCACTTGCGGGGGGGGCTTCCGCGGTGCTCGTGGAGGCCGCCCTTCATGCTCGACCGGGTCTTCATCGTCCTCCAGGCCTTCAGGACATCATCCCTGGTGCTCTGGTGCCTCAACTACCTGGTCGAGCGTCACTTCGACGCGCTGTTTCTCGCATTGCTGTCCTCCTGCATTTCAAGGGTCTCTCGGCGCAGGCGCTCTGACGCCACAGGTGTGATCGCCTAGCGGCCTGCGCCGAGAAAGGAGGATGAGGCCGAACGTTTCCTTTCGCACCGCGCGGGGAACCTTGCGCGATGCGCGCGTCGGTCCCCTGCCCGAGGGGCGACGCAGAGGCCGACGCGCGCGCTCAGAGGAGAGCCTGCAGTGAAAGCTCGGTGGCTGGCGCTCTCCCGCCATCCCGCTGGGCAACAATCGATTGCACGATTGGTGCACTACATGGTCGGGTTGGGGCGAGAGAGAGAGAGAGAGAGAGAGAGAGAAAACAAAACAACAATAAAACACAAGAAATAATAATACTGGCGCTGAGAGAGAGAGAGAGAGAGAGAGAGAGAGAGAGAGAGAGAGAGAGAGAGAGAGAGAGAGAGAGAGAGAGAGAGAGAGAGAGAGAAAAAAAAAAAAAAGGTGAGACAACAACAATTAATTATAGACCAGCAACACAACAGGTCGATACGTCTCCCTCTGTCACATCGGATTCGTCGGTCCCTCTGGGTCCCATGCCGTTCCGTGCCGCAGCGGTTTGGAGCATAACCGTCTGTGAAAGCAACCATGCAGAGGAATCCAGACAAGGGCGCGGGGCAGTATGCGCCAAGGCAGGCGCCGCTCCTCGGGAGGCGCCTCGCCCCAGCTTCACTCGAGGGGGCAAAAGCAGTGGAGGGGGGGCTCGAGCTCAGGCCGGCTTCGTACGCCTCCCTGGCCAGAGGCCCCGTGCCTCTCCTTCCCCCCCCCCCCCTCGGGCCCCCTTCGCCCAGGTGGTCGGGCCCAGTGCTCTGCCTGGCGCTCGCGGCCGCCTGGCGCGCCGCCGCGCGGAAGCGGCGGCCCGCGCCGCTGGGGGGCGGCCCCCCGTCGGACCACAGGACCGGCGCCTCCCGCGCCAATATTGGGTTTGGGCGACGCGCCCTGGGGGGCGATCTACGGGTGTGCAGCGAGGGCTGCAGAGAACAAACCCTTTCCATAGGGCCCCTGGGAGGGGGCCCCTCAGGGCCCAACAGGGTGGCTTCTGGGCCCAAAAAGAGGGCACATTTCTCCCCCCACCCGATGTATCTTGGGACCTCGCAAAAAGGTGGTGGCACGGGGGGGGGGGGGAGTTCGGCCCGTTGGCGCATCGGACCGTAGAAAAACTATGCTAAACGAGGCCTCCGGCCGCCGCTGGAGCCCGAGAGGCGTCGACAATCGGGGCGCGCGGGGGACATCGTTTTTCGGAAACTCGATGCGCCAGCGGGTCGAATTCTCCCCCCCCCTCTCAGGGTCCCCCCCCCCTTCGGTGGACCCCGAGCATCGCCCCCGCGTCAAGCGACGCCCAGTGGGTGCAGGCTGCGCGCGATCGGCGCGATCGGGGAAGGGACGACGACCAGCCCCGTCCCCCGCGGGTCGAGCAAGATCACGACGGGCGGTTTTTATTTTTCACACGTTTTCGGCATCTGGGGGTCATCGCTGGGCTCAGAATCGTCAAACAACGGGTAAGAATGAAAAGACGGTCCCAGGGAAGGGGTTGAGACCTCCTGGGGGTCCACACGTCGGGGGTCTGGGAACGGCAGTTCCTGCCTGCACTGACCAGGTGGCTCGCTGGCCGTGCCGCCGCGGACGTTGGCGGCCACTTGGGACACGAGAGTCGCCGGCCCCATGGCGTCCGCGGCCGGTTTTGGACAGCTCTTCTGCTGTCGGGCCTCAGTTTTGTCCGCACTCGCCCCGGCCTTGCCACAGCGATCTTGGCCCCGCTGGTCTTGGCCTCGGGACCCGCGTGACCAAGCCTCCTCTCCGCCACAAAAGTATACAGACAGATGCCCTCCAGTGGATTATTCCCAGGCCTCAGGGGAGGGCGTCGATGTACAAATCGCCACTGGGAGCCAGCGACTTCGTACACCTCCACCCTCCCTGAAGGTACATGCAAAATTCGTCGGAGGGTGTCCGTTTATATATATATATATGTATATATATACACACATGTATTGCGAAGACCTTACGGCCTGTGCTGCCGACCCTGAAGGGGGACGTCGACGACGACGACGGCGACCACCCCAGGGACTCCCCCAGGACCCTCCTGGGACCCCCCCCCCAGGAAAGCGTACCTGGGTGGGGACCCCCCGCGGGACCCCTTCCGGGACCCATGCAGGACCCGCCCCCCCAGCGTTGGGAAGGGATCAAAGGGAAGGGGCTTCCTTCGATTTCACTCCTATGTTGCTCAATTTTGCTTTGTCGACGGCGCGCATGAGAAAGAGGGCCCAGGCGAATGGACCAGAGGAGGACGGAGACGACGACTCTAACGGAAAAGTCCGACTCGAACGGACAAGCCCGTCACAGACGCCGAAAGGGTCGGCGGATTTTCGCGGCGTGCCTTCAGGGTGCCCTGGCTTTCTTGGGTTTCGATGGTTTCGCTGTGGAAGGCGTGACGCTCACACACCGAAAATCGATGGACGTCCATGGGTCCCATGGGGTGGGTTTCTTGCGGAGGGCGTCCCGTGGACTGGCCTCCGCTGCATCCTCGCGTCGTGAGAGAGACGGGCAGAGCGCGGCGGGAGCCTGGGCCCCTGGGGGGCCCGGGAGCGGATGACGCGCCCCTGGCGGCGAAGGGCCCAGAAGGGCCCGGCCGCGCGCCAGGCCGCGTGGGCACGCTGCTGCGCCTGCGCTTGTGGTGGTGCGTAAAAGCACGCGGTCGGCTGATGCGAGCGGCGCAGGGAGAGCGGGCCCGTCGTCGCTCACCGGGCGCGTTCCCTTTGGACCTGCAGAGAGTGCCCGCTCGCAAATGCTCGAGCAGAAACCAAGTCGGCATCGGTGTAGTGTTTCGCCAGTCTCCCCGAGCGGATCCAGGCCATTTGCGAGCAGTTATTTTTCAGGAGGGAACAAGAACACACAGACACAATGAATCGTCGATTCTCCAGAAAATATGGGAACCTGTAGGAAGTGGGGGGGGAAGACAACAGCCCAGAAAATATGGGAAAATGCAAGGAATCCTGTTATTTGTAAGTACTTATGTGTGTGCCCCAGGGCCCCTTCAACTTTGCGAGTAGTGGAACGACGTTGGCGCGTGGGCTCCCTCGCCTCCAGTGGGGCGTGCCGCGCCGGCGGTCCGCGTGAGCCTTCGCGTGAGGTCGCTGCGGTCCTATCGCGTAATTCGTCGGCGAGCGAGGGGGGGGGGAAATGAGAAGGAGAAGACCTTCTCAGAAGGCGGCGGGAATTCTCAGAAGCCCTCGCGCCTTCAGAAGGCGGCGGGACTCCTCAGAAGCCCTCTCGGCTTCCGAGAAGTTTTACTTATGTGTCTCCGGGGAATGCTCAGGAAATTTCTCAGAAGTCCTGGGGACCTCCGAGACTTCTGACAAGGCCCGCCCCTTCTCGCTTCCCCCCGTTAGCTCGCCGCCGAGTGAGGCGCCCTTCTGCGCGTCGCCCCCGCGGCTTCCGAGGGGATCCTGCTCGGGTGCGGCCGGCGAGGCATCCCTAGCCGAGGTGCCCCCCCGGCCTCTCCACGGAGGCACAGGCGGCCTCCAGAGGCGGGCCCTGGGGGCCCAATCGTGGCGCGCGGAGCTGGAGGCATCCTCAGTTTGGGGGGCCAGGGCCACGTCTGGTGATCGATGGCCTGTGTCGCCTCGGTTCGCGCCGCCCTGGCGTCGATCGGCGCCGATTCGCACGAGCCAGCAAGACGGTATGCCATGCGGGACTCCCACGAGTGGGCGCAGCAGCCGGAGGGCCGGGCGTTGCAGCTTTGGCACACCGGGCGTTTTCAACCGGTGTCGCGTCCCTGGAGCATGCAGATCGATGCGGCTCGAAACATGCAGCAGGAAGATGGGGTCTACGGGGGTGCAGTCGTGATTCTTGGGCTTACGCTACACCGCCGACCCCTTGAGGAACTGGCGGTTGTTGTTTGTTGCTCCTGAGGGCCTTTTGTCGCCTTTGGGGGGCTTCTTGGAGCTCTTTGGGGGCTTCATGGGGGCCTCTTGTTCGGGGCCTCTTGGGTTGACATTCTCAGTGTTCGCCGTGCACGCATGGGACGCGGGCGAGAACCCACATATACAGATGGCGGGCATCTGTCAAAACACCCGACGAATGATTATTGAATGGCCTTCGGCAGATCCCGCCACCGTGCCTGGGTTGCGGGTCTGAGGCCACTCGGATGGCTGATGGGGTCTCGTGGGAGGCGTCTCGGGGGCGTCTTGCAGGCAGTTTTTGAACCCCATTGGGGGCCTCCTGGGGGCCTCTTGGGGGCTTCTTGCTGCCATCTTGTGGCTCCTCTTTGGGCAACCCAGAGGCGTCTTGGGGTGGATGACTCGAAATGTCCGTTCGGGTTCCCCCTCTGGGCCCCCTCTTAGGGCTGTCCTGGGGCCCTCCTGGGCCGTCTTGGGGGCTTCTGGGGCCGTCTTGGGGCCCTCTTGGAAGCGTATTGGCCCGTCTTGGGGCGAATTTGAAGGCCTCTTGGGCTGTCTGGGACGTTGTGAACGCCCAGGAGTCGAATGTGTTAAGAATGCAGCACGAGTTCGAAAGAGACTGGGACTATTTTTGTTTCTGGAGGCCCTCTTGGGACGCCTCTTGTGGGCTTCTTGGGGCGTCTGTGGGGCCTCTTGGGCCGTCTGGAGGGCAGCGTGGGCGTTTTGGATCGATCTTTCAGCGACTCGTGGCTCTCGTGGCCCGCCCCAAGGGCCTCTTGGGACCAGCCCTCTTGGCCTGTTTTGGGGCCCTGTGGTCCCGCCCATGCGTTCACCCGGATCCCGTGGGACCCCCCCCCTCCAAGTCGACCTGACCGGGCTCCCGGGGTGGGGGGTTGGGGAGGGGGAAGCATCTCACACGCCGATGAACCCCTTAAGGGGTCGGCGGATGACGGGAAGCGCCCTTGGCGTGGACGGGGTACGGGGCGCACTTGGAAATTGCGCTGGCGGATTTCTGAAAAATGGCACTTTCGCTCGAGACATCCTCCAAACATCGGCCCAAGAGGGGACTCCGCATCGACGTCGTGTTCGAATCGCTCTTGGAGGGCTTTCCAACGGTCCAAGGGAGGCCCAAAAGACGCCCCGGAGAGCCCCGGGAGTGCCCGAGAGCGCCCCAAGAAGACCCCAACAGACCCCGAAGAGCGTTTTAGGAGCCACCCAGACAGCTCACAACCAAGAGACTCCCGGGAGAGCCCCAGGAGGCCAAGATGGCGCCGAGACGGCCCAAGAAAGCTCCCACAGAACCCCACGACGCGCCCAGACAGCCCAAGAAGACGTCAGAAGCCCATAAGAGGACCCAAGGGGCCCCCAAGAAGCCCCGAACAGGCCTCAAGAGAACCCCGCGCGGCGCCAGGAGCAACGTCTTTTCCAATTGCCTCCTACTGTCCTCTGTCGTCGTCGTCGTCGTCGTCGTCGTCGTCGTCGTCGTCGTCGTCGTCGTCGTCATCATCGCCCTCCGCATTTCTCCTCGTACTCGCCCTCGTTCTCTTCGTTTTCGTCCTTGTGCTTCTCTTCCTCCTCGTTGTCCTCATGCTCCTCCTCGCTATCCTCACGTTCGCCACGTCGTCCTCGTCATCGACTCCTCGTTGTCCTCGCCTTTTCTTCTACGCCCAATACGCCCATTAGACTACAGCGGCGCTTCCCGTTCTTGTCCGATCAGGTTTCTCTCGGTGTTGCATCGTTTTCGCAGAGTTGGATCTCAGGGTGCTCGCGTCGTGAAAACACAACGGAGGGATTCCGGCATAACCCCACCAACCGGCCCATCCAGAAACGATGCCTAGGCGAATCGCCTTGACCAGGCATGTGAGGAGCACGTAGTGGAATAAAGGCGGAGGAGGAGGAGGAGGAGGAGGAGGAGGAGGAGGAGGAGGCGGGAGGGAGGGAGGGAGGGAGGGAGGGAGGGAGGGAGGGAGGGAGGAGGGAGGGAGGAGGAGGAGGAGGAAGAGGAGGAGGGACGACGAGGAGGAGGAGGAGGAGGAGGAGGAGGAGGAGGGAGGAGGAGGAGGAGGAGGAGGAGGAGGAGGAGGAGGAGGAGGAGGAGGAGGAGGAGGGGGAGGGGAGGGGGGGAGGGGGAGGGGGAGGAGGAGGAGGAGGAGGAGGAGGAGGAGGAGGAGGAGGAGGAGGAGGAGGAGGAGGAGGAGGAGGAGGAGGAGGAGGAGGAGGAGGAGGAGGAGGAGGAGGAGGAGGAGGAGGAGGAAGGGAAGGGGGAGGAGGGAGGAGGAAGGAGGGAGGAGGAGGACGAGTTAGGATCTTACGGATGAGGAAGAGGAAAAGGAGGGCGAGCAGAAAGGCCAGGAGCCTTTTGTATGCTTCTCGGAGTCTCTTCGGATCGCTCTTGCGAGCTTCTAGTGGGCTTGTTGGGACGTCTTGGGGGCCTCGTGGCCGCCCCGGGGGCTTCCGAAGCGTCTTGGGTGCCTCGGAAGAGCCTCTTCGGGCCTCGTGGGGGCTTCTTGGGGTGGTGCATCTTGGGGGCCTCCTGGGCGCCTCTGGGGCTCTCGGGGCCCTCTCGGGGCACTCCTTGGAGCCTCGGGGGCCACCTTGGGGCCGTGATGGTGGTGATCAAGAAGAGGGTCCCCCCCCCTGGGAGGCCAACATTGGGCCAACACCGCAGTATAATCAATGATTTTAGCCTTCTCGCCGAGGCCATCTTGGACACTCTAACGCGCCGCACCCCCCCCCCGTCCATGTCCAGGGGGATGGGGTAGGGACATGAGGTCAAGACTCCCTCCCCGCCCGCAAGCCGTCTCGCTCACTCCCACCCGCCCTCCCAACACATACGTAGCACCCGAGTCTGGCCCGAGCCTCAGCAGATTCAGCAGTCGTCTTTGGATGGGCAGCTACTGGGGGCCAATCCGCCGCCGCCGCCGCCGCGGCCGCCCCCGCTGTCAAATCGCCGCCGCCGCAGCCGCTGCCGCCGCAGCCGCTGCCGCCACCGCCGCCGCCAACGCCAACGCCAACGCCAACGCCGCCGCCGCAGCCGCCGCCGCCGCCGCCGCCCCCGCCGTCGCCGCCACCGCCGCCGCCGCCGCAGCCGCCGCAGCCGCCGCCGCCGCAGCCGCCGCAGCCGCCGCCCGCCGCCGCCAAGTGTACTCTGTATTGTTTTTGACGGTTGGGGGGGGGAGGCCGCATCGGGATGGCTGCGCATGTTCAGAATTTGGAGGCAGAGTGTGTTTTGTATTGTTTACAAGGGATGGTGTGGGGGGGGGGCCCTCATGGTTCTGGGTTGGCTACCAGTCGCCTGGGGGAGGGGGTGTTTATTAACAGGGAGCAGTGATCAAGCTACCCTCCTAGAGAGCAAGCCGTCTGGCTCACGCCTACCCGCCCTCCCAACACTTGAGTAACACCCGATTGCCAGCAGATCGCGTAGTTGCGCCACACATGCCATGCGCGCCAAGGGTTCCAGGTGCACCAGGCACCCGGATGGCCCAAGCATGCCAAGCGCGCCAGATGCGGCACGTGCTCCGCGAGCGCCAATTGTGCCACGTGCTCCAGCCGCGCCGGGTGCGCTAGCTACGATGAACCAATAGGAGCCCCAGGTGCCTGGGGCCCTGGCCCCAAGGAGTTCAGGATCTCACATCCCCTTGTAGCGAAGTGCCGAGCATTCCATGGGAAGGGTGGCTCCTCAGGGTGTGCAAAGCACCGGCACCGATGGGACATCTGTGACATCTGGAGTATTCGTGGAACACGAGAGCTCAGAGAAAAGAGCGCCCTTCGCATGCTCGAATTTGAGAGCCAATGTGTATTATACCTATAAAAAGCAACAAACATGGGTGGTTGGCCTGTGCACAGAAGGTAATATGCTGGCACGCCGTCCCTGTGAAAAAACAATGCGACGTGGTCGCGGGGCGCCCACGCATGCTCCAGATTCGGAGTCAAAATTAATTTCGCATGTTTTTTTCACAAGGGATAGTGAGGGGGGTTCTCATTGGTCTGGGTTGGCTGTCAGTCGCAGATTCGGAGTCAAAATTCATTTCGCATGTTTTTTTCGCAAGGGATAGTCATGGGGGTTCTCATTGGTCTGGGTTGGCTGTCAGTCGCATGGGGGAGGGGTGCTCCTTAATAGAACAGTGAAAACCCTCCCCGAAGGGAAAGAAGGGGGGGTGGAAGAGGAATTCCCTGAACCACTCACGCCCTGGAGGGCTGGCAGGATTTTCGGCTCCTGGGTGCCCTACCGAGCTCCGTCCTCACCGAGTCTCGCTACCGTCAGCAAAACGACCCCAGGAAGAAAAGCTGGTCGCCGGCACGCATCGAGCAGAATCACAGACGTCGGATGTTTGGAGCCCCGACACTCTCTGATCTGATTATTCCATTCGCGGCCCCAGATGGCGAACAAACGCATCACATACCCATTCCTTAGGGGGCCAGAGGGGGCTATGGGCGCGTGTTGTCGGATGGGGGTCCCCTCTCGAACGGGAGCGTCCCCGAGAGTCCGACAACCCAGCCACGCCTCGCAACGACTCCCTTGTGGGCATGGGTGTATGTTGTTCGCTCGTCGCCAGAGGTCACGATCCCTTCCCCGGGGTAGCACTGCGTCCCGGACCCGTGCTCGATGGCCCTGGGGTCCTTCGGGGCCCAAGCGCCGACCTCGACGAAGAGCGCCCATATTGACCAGTTCTCAGAGGAGCAATGCAAGAGGCCATGGTGATGGCACGCTCCAAGATGTCCAGCATATCGTAGATTCACTGATGATCCACAGGGCTGCACAAACGAGAGCCGCCAGATACTCCAGGAATCCTGGTCCGCATCCTGAGCCAGTCCTGGCATGACAGCTTCCCCGTCCCGAAACCCTGTCCGCGGAGGCCTGGGAATCCCCCCGCGGCCTCCCGCAGGACCGACCGGGCCGACGCCGCCACCAAGGGGGGCGCGTAGGGGGCGCCGCTGGCAGGCGCCGCTGCGGGCGCCCGCGCCCTGCCCTGCAAGGCGCTGGGCCCCGCCGTGTTCGCACGCGCGCCCGCCCTGCGTGAGCGGGAGCCCGGCCGGGAGCGGGTGCCGCCGCGAGGCAGTGGTAGTGTTAGGGTTCCGTCGGGCGTGTCCCTCTGCAGGGGGAACACTCACGAATAGTCAAACAATGATCGGGGGACGATGCTTGGGCTATTTGTTGATCATTTGGGTGTATTTTGTGAGTATTCTTAATGTTTCATCGACTGTCGGCCTGTAGGGGGACAGGCCCGGCCAAGTGTTAGGGCTCTCTTCGAGGCCTTCCAGCTGGGGTCGGCGCAGATGGGGTCGGAGGCTCGCGCGCCGCCTCGCCAGTGTGTGCAGCCCGATCTATTTCCTCCGCGCGGCCGTCGCCGCTGCAGCACGGCGAGGCATCGCCCCTGCAGCGCCGAGAGGCAGCGCCCGTGCCTCGGCGAGGCGGCCAGATCCTCCGACCCCGTCTGCTCCGGCCCCATCCGAAAGGCCTCCATTCGGGGGCCACGTGCGGACCCTGTACCCCTACCCCCCAAGATTTCTGAGGGGGAGGGTGCGGGAGGCTTCGCACGTGGCCCCCTATCGATCTCCTGGGCGCGCCCATAGAGCGGCGGCGCGGCGTGGGAGAAAGGAGGCGGCTGTCGGAGGGGGGGGGCTCGATGTATACCCCGAGATGCGGGCGGTGCAGACCGTTCGCGCTGTTGGCGTCCTCGCCGGGCGTCGGGCACGCGCAGCTGCGACCCCCGGCCTCCTCCCAGGGAACCACGTTCTTTCATGGACTGGTTTCGAGCTCCACCACCAGAAGTTAGAGGGGGGAAGGAGGTGGAGGATGAGGAGGAAGAAGAGGAGGAGGGCCCCCCTCCCCCTCCTACTTGTGGAGGTGGTGGTGGTGGTGGTGGTGGTGGACAACAAGCCCACCATTCTTCGGACCTAGAAGGTCAGCATGCGAAAAGCATACAGCAAAGGTGAGTCAGTGATACGGTTAAGTCGGGCACGTCCCTCTACATGAGGAAAATTCAAAAATCGGAGGATGGGGGGGTGAGATCGAAGTGGAACGGAGAGCCCCACTGGGAAATCGGTTTGGGGTTCGTGTTCGCGCGTGCCGTGCGTGCGGGCGAGGCGAAGATGCGTGGGCGGGTGAGAGGAAAGTCTCCCTTGGCTGAGGCGCGGCCGGACAAAATGATTTCGCTGGTGTCCCGCTGGTGTCCCGGTAAGTCTCCTGTGGCTGAGGCGCGGCCGGACCATGTGTTTCCCGACTGGCAAACGGGGCCGCGCGGTGTCCCGCCGGTGTCCCGCTGGTGTCCCGCTGGTGTCTTGGTGTCCCGTTGGTGCGAAAACGATAGTGAGACCGATAGTGAGATCGATTGTGTGATCGATTGTGAAATCGATAGTGAGCTCGATAGTGAGATCGATCGAATTAGATCGATGGTGAGATCGATTGTGGGATCGATTGTGAGAGCGATAGTGGGATCTATGGCGAGATCGATTGAGTAAGATCGATAGTGAGATCGATCGAGTGAGATCGATAGTGAGATCAGGGGGGGGGACTGGTACCAAGGCGCCCAAGAGCGAAGGGTGACGTAAACAACTCGACACCAAGGCTTCCAAGAGCGAGAGGCAACGCAACAATCTCCACTGGCATCGTCAGAACAGCAATCACCACTGTTGCCCATTGCTGGCCCCCTCCCCCCCCAACCTCCTTATCACCCGCAGGGTGGTCGTATAGGTAGTCCAATTATAGTCAGGGGGCTATTTTTTGTTTTTGTTTTGCCATTTGGGGGTATGTTTTGAATGATTCTTGCATTTTTCGCCCAAACTTCTTTTTCGCTCAAAATCGGCCTGTTGGGGGACAGGCCCGACCAAATCATACTGGCCTCTTTTGCCGGCCCCCAGGGCCTCTAGGACAGCCGCAGGTGCAGAGGGCTCCAGGACGGGCGTTGAGATTCTCGGCGATGGTTTTGAGAGTGTGGATGCCAGACCAGTCCCCCGACGCCTCCCCAAAAGCTGCACCAGGATTTGCTCGGGCGCGGCAGGCAGGCGTCAGTCAGGGCCCCTGAAAGGGCACCTGCGTCATCCAGCACGGAAAACGCCGCGGGATCTTCCTGGCGGGGGGTGGGTATAGGGGATCCGGGAAGGGGGTCGGGGAGTCCCAATTGGGTAGCAGGGGGGGTCCCGGGTTTGGTTGGGGGGGGGGAGTCCTCGGGGTCGTGACCTCCTCACCGGGAGGCCTCCCCCGTGGACAAAGGGGGCAGGGATGTGGTCCCCTGGTCGACGGGGGGGAGTCAGGACCCTTCCCCCCCCCCTGGCGGACACGGGGACCTCCTCCTGGACCCCCCCGCCCGCGACGAACGGGCCCCGAGATGGACGCCGAGGTCGAGAGAGAGCGGGCGGCGTTGAGCAGGTCAGGACGTCAGAGGGCTGCACGGAGTATGGGGGGATGGGGCGGCGGAGACAATGGAGGAGAACAAGGAGGAGAAGGAGAGGAGGAGATGGCGGAGGAGGAGGCGGGACAGGAGAAGGAGGAGGAGGAGGAGGCGGAGGAGGAGGAGGAGGAGGAAAGGGAGGAGGAAGAGGAAAGGGAGGAGGAGAAGGAGGAGGAGGAGCAACAGAGGGAGGAGGAGGATGAGGAGGAGGCGGACGCTGCTGCTGCTGATGGTGATGATGATGTTGCTGATGATACTGATGAATATGATGATGCTGGTGATGTTGATGACGATGATGCTGATGATGATGCTGATGATGATGGTGATGTTTGTGATGATGATGGTGATGATGATAGTGAGTATGGTGGTGATGATGGTAGTGATGTTGGTGTCGGTGATTATGATGACGATATGGATGTTGATGATGATGACGCTGATGATGATGGTGATGGCTATGATTGTGGTGATGGCGATGATGATGATTGTCATTGTTTTGAGTTTGATAATAATGATGACGAGGAGGAGGAGGATCAGGATAATGAGGAGGCTGATGATGATGCTGCTGGTCACGAAAATGCTGATGATGCGATGCTGATGTTGCTGATGATGATGGTGATGATGATGATGAGGGTGTGGGTAATGACGATGACGATGCTGATGATAAAGACGATACTGATGACGGCGATTATGATGATGATGGTGATGCTGAAGTTGAGGATGAGGATGAGGAAGAGGATAAGGATGAGGATGGTGATGGTAATGGTGATGCTGATGGTGATGGTGATGATTATGATGATGATGCTGTTGTTGATGATGCGGATGATGCGGATGAGGATGATGACGATGTTGCTGATGATGATGCTACTGCTGCTGATGATGATGGTTGTGAGGGGGGATGAGGACCAGGATGATGATGATAAAGATCAGGATCCGTATTAGGATGAGGCTAATGATGATGTTGGTGAGGAGGAGGAGGATGGGGCGGATGATGAGGATGAGGATGAGGATGAGGATGATGATGATGCTGATGATGATGATGCTCATGCTGATGCTGATGCTGATGCTGATGCTGATGCTGATGCTGCTGATGATGCTGATGATGCTGATGATGAGGAGGGGGAGGAGGATACGGAGGAGGGTGGTAGTTGTGGTGATGATGCTGCTGCTGATAATGATGGTGGTGGTGGTGTGGCGAGGGTGATAGTGATGCTGATGGTGATGCTGATGCTGCTGCTGATGCTGCTGATGATGATGGTGATGATGATGGTGCTTGCGATTGTGATAATGGTGATGGTGATGGTGATGATGATGCTGCTGATGATGCTGCTGCTGATGCTGATGTTGAAGATGAGGATGGTGGTGGTGATGCTGGTGATGATGCTGTTGCGGATGATGATGATGATGATGATGACGATGATGATGATGACGATGACGATGATGAGGATGAGGATGAGGATGAGGATGAGGATGATGATGATGATGATGATGATGATGATGCTGATGCTGATGCTGATGATGATGATGATGATGATGATGATGCTGCTGCTGCTGCTGCTGCTGCTGATGATGATGATGATGATGATGATGATGATGATGATGATGATGCTGCTGCTGCTGCTGCTGATGATGATGATGATGATGATGATGATGATGATGATGTGTTGTTGTGTTGTTGTTGTGTGCTGGTGTTGTTGTTGGTTGTTGTGTTGTTGTTGTTGTTGTTGTTGTTGTTGTTGGTGGTGTTGTTGTTGTTGTTGCTGCTGGTGATGATGATGATGAAGAAAAGGGGAGAGGGGAGGAGGAGGAGGAGGAGGAGGAGAGGAGGAGGAGGAGGAGGGGGAGGAGGGGGAGGAGGGAGAGCAGCATCAGGAGTCGGAGGAACAGCAGCGGCAGCAGGGAGGGAGGGCAGGAGGGGGGAGGGGAGGGGAGGGGGTACGGGGAGAAAGGAAGTGAAGGGAGGAAGCAGGAGGAGAGGAGCGAGACCAGGAATGGTAGCGAGGAGGAGGTAAAGGTGGAGGACCAGGAGGAGGAGGAGGAGGAGGAGGAGGAGGAGGAGGAGGAGGAGGGGGAGGGGAGGAGGAGGTAGTGGAGGTGGAGGAGGAGGAGGCAAATGAGAAATTGAGGAAGGGCGCCCCCACAGCGGCCACGGCCCAGAAGCTTAAGCTTCTTGTCCGCGGCAGCACAGCCTCGCAGCACGCATGCACATGACGCCTCGGATGCTGTGGGGACAGATCTTGAGGGCACCTTGGGCCAATCCCCCGCAAATTGGGTCCGAGTAGACGATCGACGGAAGAAACCAGTGTTGATTGTGCGGACATTCGCGCGTAAGTTTATACGCCAACGTCGGGGCCGCGATCGCAAATCCCCCCCAAGGGGAATCGGTGTCGTGTTTCCCATGTCCCAACCTCCTAATCGACCTATCGCCTGCAGGGTATCCGACGTCGCACCCGGGAAAGTTTCGACGAGAGTGACTATCCCGCCCTGCCTTCCCGTGCACTGGAGCCGGCCGTCCCTGTTAAAAGACAATGGATTGCACACGCCTGGCGGTGATTTTCTGGCGCGGCCTTGATTTTTCCAGTGCGACAGAAAAGGCCACAGTGCCCCCGCATGTATGAACTAATTTATTCCGGTCGCATTATCTGGCCTCTCCACTGGCTGGGTATGAAGATTTTTCGGTTCACCAGAACGGGCCGTCCGTGTGCAAGAGCAATATGATCGACGCATCTGTTAGGAATTTTCTTGTGCGAATTGGATTCTGGTTCGCCTGAAAATCCCGAAGTGTCTCACGTGTGTTGATTTGTACACTTTGGTGGCATTGTCTGGTTTCTACACCGTTTGGCCATTCCAATGGTATAAAGGGACCGGAACATGGCCCCCCGCCCCCTGCCGTCGGGCCCACCCAAGCCAATGGCGTGCAGCATAACATTGTACGTTGCTCCGTGCGCCTGACGGGAGGGGGGGCATCTATATCGACCCGCCTACACGTGACGCTCCCGCATCTTCGACCTGATGATGTTCGTGACGATGCTGATGACGAAGATCAGTGATGATAAGGATTTTCGCGAAACTTTCGTAAACGGTCAGTATGTCGTCTCGCGTAAGACCCGCTTGTTGTCGCCGGTCAGATGGAGTCGGAGGATGGCGCCGCATCGTCGATGCGGCTCCATGTGGAGCCCGACATTTACACGCCGATACTGCCGATGCACCGCCGATGCGTCGCCGATGCGTCGCCGATGCATCGCCGATGCATCGGCGATACATCGCGATCCTGCGGTACCATCTGTTCGGACCCCGTCCACGAGGCCTCCCACCTGGGCCAGGGACCCCCCTCGGGGCTTGACGCCTCTTCTTCAGTCGACTGGCGGGGGCAGCAAGTCAGATAAGATGAGGTACATACAGGCAAGACGCTGGGACACGGTCTACGTTGGGCTCTGGAGGGATTCTCTGCGGTCGAGATTCGCCGTGGCCATTGGAAAGCCCCTTTTATTCATCGCCACGTTTTGTTCTAGGGTTGCACGATGGTTGTAGGGTTAAGTCGGACATGTCCCTCTACAGAAGGAGTGTTCCAAAAAAGCTTGAGAGTAGTGCGGGGACGATCTCTGGACTATTTTTATATCTTTGTTGAAAACTTGTTGTGCTTCCTTTTGATGATGGTTTAGGTTTCCTCAGAACTCCGCCTGCAGGGGGGGGGAGGGGGGAGGGCTTCTTAGAAGGAGGCTGCGTCTCAGAAGGCACTGGCCTCACATCCACAGAGAAGGCCCGCGCCTTCTAAGACGCAGGGGTGCTTCTAAGAAGCCCTCCCCCCTCCCGCCGCCCCCCTCTGCGCGTGGCCCAGGGTCACGGCGGGGGTCCGACAAGCCCGCTGCGTGCAGTTGGCCTCTCGGCCCCGCCGCCGGGCACCCTCCTCCGCACACCCTGGCGTTCCTCGGGCGGCGGCGAGCGGCGCCCGAGGGAGCCAACTCGTCTCTCCGCGGGCCGACCCGGCAGCGGTGCCCCGGCCCGACGGCGACAGCCCCAACGCGCTTGACGACGCTTCTCCAAGCGACCTGCGGGGATGCTCATGTGGTGATGGGCCTGTTCTCCACCCCCACCGCCACCATAAGTTGGAGGGGGAGGGGGTCCTCCTCCTCCTCCGCCTCCTCCTCCTCCTCCTCCTCCTCCTCCCTTTTGTCCTCCTCCTCCGCCTCCTTCCCCCTCCAACTTATGGTGGGTCAGCGCAAACGGGGGTCAGCCAGGGCACCCGATCCTGCAGGATCCTGCGAAGACCCCCTCTGGCTGACCCAGGTTGGCGAGCCGCTCGTGGCCACGAGGCGTCCGCGCATACTGGCTGACCAGGGTTTCGAAGACCTGCGTTGCAGTTTTTTTCCTGCACTGCGGTTTTTTGGTTTCCTGCCGACCTGGGTCTGGATTGACCCGGGTCAGAGGATCCCCGACGGCAGTGACATCCCGAAAGGGCTTGACGACTCTTCTCCAAGCGACTTGCGTGAAGTCGGGCACGTCCCTCCACAGGAGGAATGTTCAAACATAGTCAAACAATAGTCTGGGGACGATGTTTCGACTGTTTTTGATCATGTTGGGATATGCTTGGGGTATTTATGTATCTTTCGTCCTCAATCCCGCTGTAGAGGGACATGCCCGACCTAAGACTTGCGGGGATCCTCATGTGGGGGGGCGGGCGCGGTATTCACGCGCTCATAGGTCGATGTCAGCCGATGCAGCTTCGGTTGCGCTTGATCAGTAGCGGATCGGGGAAGCTCGGGCGCGAGTCGAGGGGTAGCAGAAGCGAAGTCGCCGAGCCCTCAATAAGGACACCCGTCGGGCAGCGGTCGTCTTCTTCCCGTCCGCGCAACGCGCTCCAGGGGGGGCGGCGGAGCTGCCACGGCGGCGGCGCGCGGGGGGCCCGCCAGGAGGACGCGGGGACGGCCCTGAGCTCTACGATGGTGTCCACCTCCAGCGCGCCCAGCCGGCGGGCGCTCCTGGGGGGGCGGCCCGGAGGCCCTGCATAGCATGAGTCTTGCGCGCGCGTGTGGGGGGGAAGCGCCTCCGCACTCAGGGAACAGATGGTGGCATAAGCATCAAGTTTCGGAGCGCCCCGCAGATGTTTCTCGGATCGGCGCCGGGGGCCCTGGACGATCGAGGCTTTTGCACGCTTGGAGACGTCACAGGAGAGGGCGGGGCTCCTCCTCCTCCTCCTCCTCCTCCTCCTCCTCCTCCTCCTCCTCCTCCTCCTCCTCCTCCTCCTCCTCCTCCTCCTCCTCCTCCTCCTCCTCCTCCTCCCCCTTCACCTCCCACAGCCTGCTTCCAGGCCCGTAGCGATCGCAGGGATACTTCCTGCCCTTCGCTGCAGCGCTGCCGCAGCCGCCCCGACCCAGCCCTGGTGCGCCTTGGCCGCCTGGGCCTCCTCGTGGAGGCTCTGAGCAGCGAGCACGAAGTCGGAGGGTCGCGCCGCATCGCCGCATCGCGTAGTTGCGGCTCGGTGTAGAGCGTGGTTTTCTCCACGCCGGCGGCGCCGGTGCATTGCCGACGTCGCCAGTGCATCGCCAATGCATCGGCGAGGCATCGCCGATGCATCGGCGATACGGCGGGACCCTCCGACCCCGTCGAACCCGACCCGATCTAAGAGGCCTCTACTAGTAGGGAGCTCCACCGAAGGCCTCCGTAGCAGTGCTCGCATGCAGTCGGTGAACCTATTTCGGCACAGTTCTCACAAGTTTCGTGGCCCCAGAAAATGCTCCACGGAAGGCGATGCTTACAACTGCGTTACTCACAACTGCACATGGATGGGTCTTTATTTGTTGAATTCCGGCGCGTTCCAAGGATCTTGCATCCTCAACCCCCATCAGGGAGCTCCACCGAAGTCTCCGGTGCCATTGGCAGTGTTTGCATGTGGTAGTTAACCCATTCAGGCACACCCCGCACACGCATCGTGGCCCCACAGGGAAGATCCACAGACAGCGCCAGTGGCAGGGCTCGCATGCGTTCGCACCCATTTCGGCACCATCGAGAGCTCCACCGAAGGCCCCAGTGGCGGTGGTCGCATGCGGTCCATTTGGCACGCCCCGCATATGCTTCGTGGCCCCAGGGCCCCATAGGGAGCTTCACAGAGACGATGCTCACACCTGCGTTACTCACAAGTGCATATGGTTTGGTCTTTCGCCTGATATTTTAATTGGTTTGATTAGTTTTGCGCGTTCCAAGGGTCTTGCATCCTCAAATCCTATCCTTGTGGCTGAGGATGACGTTGCTCCTACTCAGTTGTCGGTCATGGTTGACCTGGGGCTCCCCGCAGTCACGCTGGAGGCAGATGAGCGTTCCGTGGTGGAAGAGCCACGGTTCAATGAAGCTCTTTCTCTTCCTCTTTGTTGAGCCTTCGAGGGGCGTTTGGGACGATTCGGGCACCCCCAGACCTATAGATGGTCCTTAAACGTAGGGCATGTGTTTCGTATTGCTAATCCTCGTTTCTTGTAGGTTTTGGGCGCCGTCGTTGTTACGTTTCAGGTCTCGGATTGGCCCGTGGCCCACTTTCCTTTTGTTTCCAACATTCATGTAGGTTATTTAATCGCTTCGCTCATTCCGCCGGCCCGTATTGCGCACCGCGGTCGACTGGATGAGAGGTCGTCGGCAGTGCGGAGCTGCAGGGAGCGGGGGCTGTTTTTTTTGTTGAGTCGTTGCGTTCGGCCTTTTGTGGTGAAGATGCCCCGGTGGAACAGGTTCGTGTCGATTCGTGGCGACCGTCTGTGGGGGTGGCGGGGGAATTGGGGCCTCTTTTGGGCCTCTTGGGCGCCTCTTGGGGCGTCTTGGGGGCCTCTTGGGGGTCTCTTGGGGCCTCTTTGGGACCTCCTGGGCGGCTTCTGGGGCGGAGGGCTCGATTTTTCAGTTCTCTGTATCCCTCTTGAGCCCCTCTTGGGCCCGTCTTGGGGCCTCTTGGTCCGTCTTGGGCGGCACTTGGGCCGTCTTGGGGGCCCTCTTGGGCCGTTTCGGGGCCGTCTTGGGAGCTTCGTGGGCCGTCTTGGAGCGATCTTGGGCGCCTCTTGGGTCGTCTTGGAGCGTCCGGAAGCCGAAAAAGCCAGAACGCAAAAAACATAGGAAAAACCAATGAAAATCAACGATTTTGGCCTCTTGGGGCCCTCTTCGGAGGCCTCTTGGAAGGCTCTTGGGGCGTCTTGAAGGCCTCTTCGGCTGTCTTGGGGGTCTCTTGGGCCGTCTTGGGGTCATCTTCGGCGCCTTGGAGCGCTCTTTGAACGTCTCGGGGGCCTCTTGAGCAATCTTGGGGGCCTCTTGGGGCACTCTTGGCGCGCTCAGGGCGGCCTGAGAGGCCGCACCCAGAAGGAAAACCATCTCTGAGTTGAACCGGGCGGGACCTTCCCAGGCGGCGGGCGGGGTACTTTTCGCCGGGGGACCCCCAGGGGCCGCCCCGCGCGCGCGAACTAGTACAATACAATTGTTAACCAGTTACCGGAGATCTTAGCACGCCTCTGGCCCGTTGGGCCGGCGAATTTAACGCTCTCAGACATCACATTGCCGTGTGCATGGCGCCCACTTTCTGGGATGCCGTTTTTGAGGGGGGAGCATTGAACACTACAAAAACGCCCCCAACGCTTCTGAAAGCCATTTGGCTCCAGACTGCTCTCGGCGAGGCGCAGCTGTTCCCGAGGCAAGGGAACCTCCAACAGCCAACGAACGCTGGCGAACACCTTGAAGCCCTCCTCCCTCACGCGAGGGCTGGCTCTTATCCCGGGCAGCTGCTTGACGGCCCCATGTTAAGGTGCGGGCCCCCGGAGGAGGCCGACCACGGCGAAAGATGTCCGCACTGCTTCTCGTACATTCCATAAGTTTGAGGGGGAGGGGGTCCTCCTCCTCCTCCTCCTCCTCCTCCTCCGCCTCCTCTTCCTCCTCCTCCGCCTCCTCCTCCTCCTCTTCCTCCCCCCTCCAAAGTATGGTGGTGGTGGTGGTGGTGGTGGTGGAAAACAGGCCCATCACCTTTCAAGTGGGGCCACACCAGACGTGGTCGGAGGATCGCGCCACACCACCCATGCTTCGGCCATGCGGGGCCATCCAGAGTCCGACCTTCTTCGTGACGACGCCGCCAGTGCATATACGCGATGCAGCAGCGATGCGGTGCGATCCTCCGACCCCATCAACTCTGGCCCCCTCCTCCTCCTCCTCCTCCTCCTCCTCCTCCACTTGAGCGTCGCAGCAGGCGGGCTTAACTACACAAACATTCACGCAATAAATTGCCGCCGCAAGGCCGCGCGTAAGCGCCCTCCTTTTCAGTGTGGCGTACCGCGTTGGGGGCCGCGTAGGCCACCGCGCCAGGTCGCCATGTCTTTTCGCGGGAGACATTTCCTCGTTGTTCCAAGTACTGAAGACGTCTGGGTATCAGGTCTCAGATTTCTGCCAATCTCGGAGGGAGAGGACTGGGCCTTATCAGATATTCTTGGGATGCGGATGTACATCGCTCCAGGGTGTCCTGGGACGGTCTCAGAGCCTTCCAGAGCGCTCACGACCGCCATGCCCGATACATTCCTTCAGACCTGCCAGCTCTCATCGAAGATAGACAAACTATGTGAACACATTTCTCAGAGATCTGTGCGGATTTCTTGGATCGGCGTTGGGCTCCTCTAGCGGCGCCTTTGGTGCCGCCCCTTGCGCGCTTCGCGCATCATGGAGGGTTTCCATCACCGATCCAAGAGATCAGCGCGCACCTACAAGAACTCATGTTTATGCTGTCTTCTGATCCTCTATCTCAGAGATTCCGGATTTCTCCACATCCTGGTTTACCCAGGCCCGACTGCCCTCGCAAATCCCTGGCTTCCAGGCCCCACTGCCCGTCCCAACCTCCTGATTCCAGGCTCGGGTGCCCGTCTTCGCTGCCAGGCTTCGCGCTTCGTGAGCCCCTCGTCCTGGTTATGTGGGGGAGGTGGGGGCGCGACAGCGCGCAGATTTTCCCGCCTCGCGAAGCGCGAAGCGCGAAGATGATTGCCCTATGATGGGCCTGTTTTCCACCACCACCACCACCACCACCACCACCACCATCACCATAAGTTGGAGGGGGAAGGAGGTGGAGGATGAGGCGGAGGAGGAAGAAGACGAGGGGGAGGAGGACCCGCTCCCCCCTCCAACTTATGGTGGTGGTGGTGAAAAACAGGCCCATCACTCTAGTCTACCCCCATCCCCTCCTCGGAGGCCCTGATCAGAGGGGGCTACAGGACGAGGAGAGATCCATTCCGGAGCGTGCGGGGACGCTCTCGGAGCGTTACACGGAACGCTCTGAGGAGGCCACGCTCCGAGAGGAGGCCCCGGCGCCCGAGAGATATCATCCAGAACCGCCGGGTTTCTCAGAGATCCTCGACAGATCGGGAAGTTGGAGCTATACATTACCATTGGCGGGCTGCTTCTCAATTCGAAGACTTGTTGAGGGTCGGGGGCGACGTCGGGGGGGTGTGGTGTACACTTGTTGTTTCCGTTTCCCGGGGGAACAGCCAAACATGTATACGCCAGGATCCCGTATACAACAGGATCATGTTTCCTGTGCAAGTATTAGTGCAGGGCTGGAAAAAAAACGTCGGTGGATAGAGTTCCTTTCCCGACACATCCTCACCCGATGTTATCCTCGTCTTGGCCAGGTCATGCCTGGAAGAAGTGCGTCCTGCGCCCAGGGCTCTCCCCTGGGCCAGCTTCTCAGTCCGGGGTCTGTCCATGGGGCCCGCAGGGGGGGGGCCCCGGAGGCCCGAGAGACTTGTGGGAAACCTGCGGCAGCCCTCTCCTCCGAGTGCTCTCCATGCGGCCTCTCCTCATCCTCGGAGAAGGGGAAGAGGGGGAAGAGGTACCCACAACGATACGGCACCCTTCCCGCGGTTTCGCCTCTGTGGATCTCTCTTGGGAGGCCCTCGTCGCCCCCGCTGGATTCGCCTCGGAGTCTTGGTCAGAACTCTCCCCGGGAGAGGCCCGGGGAGTGCCGGTCAGGGCGCCAGAGACGGGGGCATAGCAAACGGGGGTACGGGGAACGCCGACCTCCACGTTTGGCGATGCCCCCGTTTAGGGGGCCCTGGGCGCCGTAAGCGGGGGTACAGTAAACGGGAGCATATGGAAAGGCCAAAGCCGATCTCACCCCCAGGGCCTCCCAGCACGTCAAACGGGCTGGTGCCCTGCACCGCGCGCAGGGCCTGCGCGGCTGCCAGGTGCGAGGCCCCGAGGCGCGAGGCCCCGGGGCTCGAGGGCGCGAGGCCCCGGGGCCCCGAGGCTCGAGGGCCCGAGGCGCGGGGGCTCGAGGCTCGAGTCGAGGCGCGAGAGAGCGCGAGCCCTCCCCCCCCGTCCCCCCAGAACACAGATAGAGACACGAGCCCCGGAGAGGTGCGGCCCTGCGGCCTCTGCGCGCGCGAGTTCCTGCTGGAGGCGCTGCCCGGCAGCGCGCCGCGCGAGGCGGTGGCGAGGCTGCCCTCCCCCCCCCCTGAGCGGCCCTCGAGCTCCCCGCCCGCGCGCTCCGCCATCCGATGGCGGAGCGCGCGGGGGCGGGGAGGCCACGATGGCGGCCATCGTGGCCTCCATGGGCCTTTCTTTCTGCGCCTTTCCCTTGATCCTCCTCCTCTTGCTGCTGCTCCTCCTCCTCGTGCCTCCCTCCTCCTCCTCTCCCTCCTTCCGTTCCTCCCTCCTCGTCATCCTTCTTCCCACCTCCTTTCTCGTCCGTCTGCTCCTCCTCCTGCGCCTCTTCCACCTCCTCCTCCTCGTCCTCCTCCACCTCTTCCACCTCCTCCTCCTTCTCCTCATCCTCCTACTCCCAGTGCTCAGGTCCCCGAGACCTCTGAGACCCGTGGACTGAACAACCCACATTCTCGGGTGTATCATCCTCCCATTCTCTCCGCCTCGTTTGTGTTCCTCCTTCTCTCTCTTCTGCTTCCTCTTCCTTTCAGCAGAGACATCGGGCGGCAGCACAGAACACTGGATCGGCATGGGAAACAGGGCAGCGAGCTACACGGGAGCAGCAGGGGACACGGGAGGAGCAGACGACGCGAGAGCAGCATACTCATACGGGGGCAGCAGAAAGCACGTGATCAGCCGTGTCGGGCGGGTGGTCATGGGGGGTGACCTACATGGGGGGTGACTAAATGGGCCCCGTGTTGGCCGTGTTCTTCACCCCCCATTTGAGCCAGTCCCAACTACCACCCGTCCGACCATGGGGGGGCCCTCGGAGTTGAAATCCTGGCGTTGCAGCGTTTTCACAACGGGTGATTTTGCCTTGCTTCGGTCCCTGCGACCCTCACAGATCGACGCGGCTCGAGGAGTACCGCAGGGGTCTAGGGCTTCCGGCTGCGATTTTTGGCGGATTTGCTGATTGTGGCCGTTCGGAGGGTGCGGGGGGGGGGGGGGGGGCGACAGCCCACCCAGACCCCCAACGTGACGCGAAAAGCACAAGGCGGGTGGTGTTTCGCAATTTTCGGCCTCTGGGAGCCCTTACGTACTGGGGCCTCGGGGCCGTCCGAAAAATAATTCAAACGGGTCGGGACCCGGGGGGGGGTCGACGCTCTGAGAAAATCGTGATGTCATGTCGGGGGTCTGGACTCGAGGCGCTCGAAGGTTTTCGACCCCCGTTTGGCGTTGTGCCGCCCTGGGATGCCTGCGGCTGCGCTTCGGCAGGATCGGTCCCTCGCGGCCGTGGGCGGCCCGAGCGAGCTCCGTCCGCGCGGTCCCCTCGTCTTCCTCGGGCCTCGGGGAGGGAACGCCGCATCTGGAGGGCAACGCCCACTGGTCGGCTGGCCCCCCGGATCTCCGACGATGTGATTCGTTCACTCACGGCGTTCTTCCCTCACTTCGGCCTCCGGGGCCCGTCATCGAGCCCGGGGACCGTCAAGAGTGGACCTGGGACAAAGGAAGATCTCTTCCCCAGGGTCGGGACCTCATGTGCACGAGGCCGTGGATGGACACAGGTCCTATACCAGAGGATGTCTGGGTCGTGGGTGCGCTCCCTAGGTGTTACGATGTTTCCGCGCCGTGTTGGAGAGGCACTGGTGGCCTCAGGTGGTCAGGAGCCCCAGCCTGAGGTGCCCCCAGGCAGGGCCAGAGGTGGCCTCCAGAGCAACTGCTGAGCACGGTGGGCAACCTTTGGCAAGCGCCGACGGGGCAACACCCGCTGTTGGCTGCACGGGCTCTTGAAGAGTGGCACCGCGCGGGCTGCGTCGGCTCCCTTGGGGGCAGCGCTAATCTGCAGGGTGGTGCCCCTTCTCGGCGACGTGTCCTCGGGCTTCTGGCCTCGAGGGGGGGGGGGGGTCCCTGGCCTCGAGGAGACTCGCGACCCGTCCTCCTCCTCCTCCTCCTCCTCCTCCTCCTCCTCCTCCTCCTCCTCCTCCTCCTCCTCTGCCTGCCCTCCCGTCTTAGGGCATTCGCAAATGCTTTGGGACGGATGCTGCTTCCTCAGGCGTTCGCCGTCGCCGTCCTTCCCTCCCTCCTCCTGCCCCTCCCTCTTCCCTCTTCCTCCTGCTCCCTCCTCCTCCCTCCTCATGCCTCCTCCTCCTGCCACGTCCTCCTGCCCCTCTCCTCCTGCCCCTCGCCTTTCTCCTCCCCTCCTCCGCCCCATTTACGCCCTCCGCCTCCTCCTTCCTGCTGCGGGCCCCCCCCGAAGCCCCGGGCCCCTTCTTCCCCGGCACGGAGGCCGGACACGTTCCAAAGCCCTCCGTCGGGTTATGTCTGTCGCTCCGGGCGCGAGGCCGAAGGTTTCCTTCGGGCCTGCCTCCCCCCGCCCTCCCGGCCGCCCCCCCCCCCCCCCGCGGTGGGCTCGCCGCCCCCTCCCCCCTTGCGCAGGCTGAGGGCGGAGAGGGAGGGCGTGGCCAGCGGCGCGCTCGCCGGCCAGGCCCAGCGAGCCCGCCCCCCCCATCGCTGGACGCGGCCTTCGCTGCGCACGATCGGGGTACGTCTGGACCGAGGCATAAAGATCGAGGTCGGTTCGCGGAGGGTGCTCTGGGCCTCCTAGATGGGGTCCGAGCAGAGTAGATGGGGTCGGAGCATCGCGCCGCATCACCGCTGCATCGGCTATGCATCAGAGATGCGGCTCGATGTGGGGCCCAGTTTTTCCACATGCCGACGGCACCGATGCGTCGCCGACGTCGCTGATGCAGCGCCGACACATCGGTGATGTATCGCCGATGCATCGGCGATGCGGCGCGATGCTCCGACCCCGGGGCCTCTAAACATCGAGGTCGGTTCGGGGAGGGTGCCCTGGTCTTCTTCGTGCTTGTTGGGTGCTCTTCTGCATCCCCGGGGAGAGGATCTCCTTGGATGTTCTGTGTGCTTTGGCTGGCGGAGGGTCTCGTGTTCTTGAGGGGTGTTCTTCTGGCCTAGGTCCGACTGCAGGTGCGGTGGGTTCATGCGGCGTTGGCGCGCCGGCGTCGCGGGCGAAGGCGTTCAAGGTTGAATTCTGCGACGCGGAAGCACCGAGGTACACGGCGACGCCACTGGACCCGCCGGAACTCAACCTTGAGCGATCGGGGCCGCGATCGATTGAAGGTTTGAACGATCGACGCGGTGTCAAGAATCTTTTGTGCGCGCCGACGCTGCGCGAACCTACCGTACGGAAAGAATGGGTAAGGAGGCCGACGGCAGTCCCTGCTCGTTTTTGAGTGGGGCAGCTGCTCATTTCGGACAGAAGGCCGCCTGTCGCTGTCCATTTAAGACAGAAGGCCGACTGACGTTGTCCATTTCGGTTCCTCCCCCCCTCGCGCCTCTCCTCGCCTCCCTTCCTTGAGAGGATACTGGCGGTCACGCGCAGAGGGGGGTAGGGGGAGGGGGAAGGCTTCTTAGAAGCACCCCTGCTTCTCAGAAGGCGCGGGACTTGTCTTTAGATGAAGGGCCGGCGACTTCTAAGAAGCAGGCTTCTTCTAAGAATCTAAGAAGCAGTCCCCCTCCCCCTACCTCCCTCTGCGCGCCGCCAATCCCCCCCGCGCCCCTCCTCGCCTCCTTACACTGTGGGGACGTCAACCGCGTCCGCATGTTCTCGCACCGCCAGCCAAAAACTGATCGTTTTGAGAAGGACATGCTTTCAGTGTCGCCTCGGACGTGGCCCGCATGAGACGGAAGGCCGCCTGCCCAGCAGCGGCCGCTGTCGGTTTCGGACATCAGTTGTTGTTGTTGTTGTTGTTGTTGCTGGTGGTGGTGGTGTTGGTGTTGGTGTTGGTGTTCTTGTTGCTACTGCTGATTATGCTGCAGCTGCTGTCGTTGTTGTTGCTGGTGGGGGTTGTTGTTGAAGCTGTTGTCGTTGTTGTTGTTGGTGGTGTTGTTGTTGGTGTTGGTGTTGGTGTTGGTGTTGGTATTGGTGTTGGTGTTGTTGAACTCTCACTATTGAAACATAATTATTTTTGATCCCCCACCTCCGGTGACTATTATGTTTTTTCAACTGAAGTGCTTCCCCCAGGGCTCGCACTCTTTGTTGTCAGGGAGAAAGTTACGGGGCTCAAACTGGGCCACTGGCACCAGTTCTTTACAACAACAACAACAACAACAACAACAACAACAACAACAACAACAACAACAACAACATCAATAACAACAACAACAAAAACAAAAACCAAAACAACAGCGGCTCCCGCCTGATACTTCCTCACAATGTATTCCCAAATCGCGCTCTCGCGCGTGACGTCCTCACAATTCATGTGCGCATCGCTCTCTCGCGTAGGACTTCCTCGCAATTCATTCGGACGATGCGCCCTCGGCGCTCAGGAATCACGCTCTCGCCTTACTTGGGAATCGCGCAGGGGCCACGCTTCAGCACCCCGCCTGCTCGATCTCGTCGCCTGGGCCCGCCGTCCCGACCTGCCCGCTATGGGTCTTCCCACCCGATCTGCTCGTCTGGTTCTACCACTTGCTTTCTGCTCCTTGCCCCCTCTCCTGCTAATTTTTACCGTGCTCCATTCTTCTCCCTCCACCTTCCACCCGTCCTCTGCTCCCCTGTTTTAGGGGCCGCACTTAATGCACGTGGCAGGTAAGGAAGCTATACCCCCAATGGGGCTACGATCGAAGACGACGAGGGCGGGTACCGAGGGTTTGGGATATCCTTATTGGTTTGCACGTGAGCAGATAGGAGCGAACAGTCTTAAACCGATTGTTGTTGTTGTTGTTGATGTTGTAAGTGTTGTTGTTAGTGTTGTTGTTGTTGTTGTTGTTGGTGGTGGTGGTGGTGGTGGTGTGTTTGTTGTTGTTGTTGTTGCTGTTGCTGTTGTTGTTATTGTTGTTGTTGTTGCTGTTGTTGTTGTTGTTGTTGTGATTGTTGCTGTCGTTGTTATTGTTGTTGCTGTTGATTTTGCTGTTATTGGTGTTGATATTGTTGCTGTCGTTGTTGTTGTGGATGATGTTGTCGTTGTTGCTGGTGTTGATGCTGTTGGTTTGTTGTTGTTGTTGTTGTTGTTGTTGTTGTTGCTTAGTCGTTGTTGCTGTTGCTGTTGCTGTTGATGGATGTGGTTTGTTTGTTGCTTGGTGTTTGTTGTTGGTGGTGGTGTTGATATTGCTATTATCGGGTATCGTACCTACTTTTCCCGGCGTCCAGATTCGCGGGGAGGGGATCTAATATTGTTTTCCAGATAGTGTCAGAGTAGGTGGGGCTGGAGGATTGCACCGCATCGCCGATACAGTTGCGATGCGGCTCCACGCCGACGTCGTCGATGCATCGATGATGCATCGGCGATTCGGCCCGATCCTCCGACCCAAGCTAATCCGAATCCATCTGGGAGGCCTCCAGGGAGAGGAGGGAGAAGAGGAGGGCGACAGGGCAGGGATTCCCTGGAGAGTTGGAAAGTGCCTCGTAGAGATTGTCACGTACCCCCCCAGAACGTGCCTGCATCTCGCCCAGGATGCCCTCCGATAAGAGCCCTGAGCCGTCTGCCACCCAACCGTCTTGGGCACCGAGGGGAACCGGCCGCCACGCGTGCTGCAAAGTTACCCCCGAGAACTTGTCTGCTCTGCAGACCTGCGCGCCGCCACGATGATTCTGGGCGCTGCAGTTACTTTGTTAGTGAATTTAATTGGTTTTAGGGTTTTAACAAATGGTCGCAGCCACGCAGAGGGCGTGCGTAGCGACGCCCCAAATGCTCAGTCTCCAGCACTTCTACGTGGCGGCGCCCCCGCAGGCACGCAGAGGGCACGCGTGGCGACGGGGGCGTCGCCACGCAGAGTTTCTAAAGACCAAACATTTTGGAAACCAATTGTTTCCACTACTAAGGTACTCAAAAGGCTTACGCCGTTCTGCTGACCCCTTTCACAGTCAATTCAGCAAGAGTCGCGCCACCGTGCCTGGCCTGTGGGTCAGGAGCCTTGGGGATGCATCTGAGGGCTGCTGGAATGCCTCCCAGGGGCCTCTCGGAGGGCTCTTGTGGCATCTGGTTGGCTTTGGAGGGCCTCTCGGGGGCTTCTTGGGGGCTTTCTGGAAGCTTCTTGGGGGCACCTCGGGGGTCACAAGGTGCTCTCTAGGCCATCACGTCGGGAAAGACTCGAGATGTGAGCTCGTACTGCTCCTCTTGGGGCCCTCCTGGGCCGTCGTGGGTGCCCCTGGCCTGGGGCCGTCTGGGGGCTCCTCTTTTGGCTCCACTGGGCGGTCCTGTGGCCCTCCTTGGGGGCCTCACGAGCTGTTTTGGGCGATCTTGGTAGCGCCGTGGGCCGCAGTCACAAAAGGCGTGCATGTCGAGAATGCACGTTTCCATCAAGGGAGGAGCGGAGCTACTTTTTGCCTCTTGGGGCCCCTTTCGGCGACTCTCTGGGAGAACTGTTGGGCCGTCTTGGGGGCCTCGGAGGCCGTCTTGACGCCATCTTGAATCGTCGCGGGGTTACCCTGGGCCGTCTCGACGCTCTCTTGAACTGTTTCGGCGCTCATTGGGCCGCCTTGGGGCTCCTTGGAGGCTGCGGAGAGCCCCTACGGTGCGTTGGCGGCCTCGTGCCCCCACCCCCGTCCCCCCAGGGCCCTCCCCGGGCCATCGCGGGGCCACCCATCGCCCCCCCCCCACCCGACTCTTTTACGATTTTCCGGGCCCAGGGGATGGGCAAAGGGGACAGCCAGTCATCTCACACCCTTCTAACTCTGGGAAAGCGGGAGTCAGCGGATTTGCATGCCGGGCGTTATCGCCTTCTTTCGGGCCTCAGCACCTTCACAGACCGGTCTGGGTCGAGAAATGCCGTAGAAAGGTTGGGTCTAGGGTCGAGAGTGGGGCTCCGGTCGTAGTTTTTCGCGAGTTTGCATTCGTTCGCAACGTGGGATCTCAGGGGACAGACGGGGCGGAGGAGGGGGGAGGTGGGGAGGGGGGGGAAGAGGGCAAGAGGATGAGAGGAGGAGGAGAATGAGAAAGCAGGATCAGGAGCAGGACCAGGACACCACCACTCATCATCGGTGTTGCAGTAAACCCTCTGTCCAAGTCCCCTTTTTAGAAACTCCGGTTTAGTTTGCACTGCGCAAAGGAGCCTCGTTGGAAGACAACCGCCTGACACAATTTCCGTTCGTGCCAAAGCACCATTCCTGGGAGTTCAACGCCGCGAATCAACGCTACTGCTTCGACCTGACGATCTCGAATCGTGCCAGAACACCGTTACTGGAACGTCAACAGCGCAAATCAAAATGACAGTCGCGATCTCACAACTCCAGGGACAAGCCCGGCGACTGTGCCGCTTTGAAAGGGCACCGCTCTGCATCAGCGCACGCGTCCAACAAAGTATTTGTTCTTGGTCCCAACAGAATCGAGCGGCGTCCTGGGCGTGAGAGCCCCACTCCGAGAAGGAGCCGCCCTCTATCCTCGCAGCTGTGGATCAAACTTACACTTTGTGTGTGTATGTGTTTTTTTTTGTTGGTTCGGCAGATCGTTGGCCCCAGCCCCAGTT